CTCCTAAATTCAAGAAAAAAATTACCAATTTTTTTTAAGAAAAATCGACATATCTAGATTTCAATATTTTGCAGTGTAAACCTTTAAGCAGGTCACATAGCTGGTATAAAAATATGACTAAGTTTTCCATTTTATTACTTAAAACACATCCTTTTTACGTTTTAATTCATTTTATGTCTGAGTTGTCTTGTATATTTTTTTATGAATTATTAAAATTCGCTCTCTCACACTAGAACCCAACACACCTCTTCCAATTAAGAGGTCAGAAAGGAGACTGTGGGATTTCCTAGGATGTGCTGATAGACGAGGGTGTGGCTGACCTGTGAATCCTTGCCTGCAGAGATGGAGAATGTAGATGTTGACCGTCACACTCTCACACACCCCTGATGTTTTCACACCACCACTGGTGGACAGCATGTCTTTCTTTCCAGACAGACTCACATCACACTTTGACCCCAAAAACACCCACGTCATTGAAACCTGCATGAAATTAAGGCTTCAATGACACTCTCAGTTTAAACGTGATGTTTTATTTTAGTTTGTAATAGTGTTTATGAAGAAAAATGTAATTCCTCCAGATCCCAGTCTATTTTTAAGGCTTTGACATTCCTCAGATGACAGTGAGAACAAGTGTCAGCATTTTCTCTGCATAGGACTGCGTCCCCTATCAGCTCTCCACAGACACAATAAGTTTATTTTCCATTTCATAAAAAAATTAATGTAAAATTTTCTAGACTTTTAATCAACCTATTTAGTAAGGAAAACATCACAAGATCATTTGTTTATAGAATATCTCTTGTGGCTAAATAATTTGGATGCTGCGAACCCATAGCACTTTGTTTCAATAATCATTCATCATTATACCAGAGTAAGGATCTGTTAATATTTATCGTTCTTAACTTCTCAAGATCCTCCAGAAAAGTGGGTCCCTTTCTTCTTTGCTCTATCCATCTCCCCACACTGTTCATCTTAGAAATCTGGGCTTAGGACTAACTGCTGTAAGGAAAAGGCTGGACTCACTGTTCAGGTTTATTGTTCCCTCTTGATTTTGCAAGATGTTGTGAATCACTATCCCAGTTTTCCATTTTTCAGCTTTTTCAATATCAAGCTAGAATAACATGTAAAATAATCTGATCTGTTAAGCAGTTTATTATGCTGTGTGAAAAATCCCTCAGCATCACAGATCATTCATCATACCTCACCATTGGCATGAGGAATTTTTCCAGATGTTCATCTTTTTGCATTTGTATTAGTAGAACTAAAAACTTTAACATAGTAACAGACAACCAGTTGATTTAGAGTCTTGTGGTTGTTTTTGACCCCAACATCCTGGTCTTTGAACTGTCTTTGATCCGTTTTTGTCTTGACCTCTGCTGCTCACTGTGCACAGTGGAAAGATAAATATGGGTTATAATCCAGACATGAACATGCTAACAGATAATTGACCTCTGAATCATACACTAAGGAAAACCATGATTTGCATTGAGAGGGTTTTAGAAAAACTTTGATTTCTTTTAAAAAGGGATGATTTTTTTAAAAATATTTATTGTGTTAATTTATTTTTTTTTTTATGTATATGAAGTTATATCACATTAGATAATGAAAGGAACATTTTATTTTTAATGCTTTTATTTCTCTGTTAAAGTAAGAATTAGTCGATTTAAAGGCAGGATTATTAAAAGAACATTTAAGGGTGCCAATGAATGTCATCTTCACTTAAAGCATGGTCTAATAGAAATAAAGCATTGAGTATGCTTCTGTAAGCTCCTGCAAATACAAACGTCTTCCAATGTTTTAAGATGGGTTTAAGCTGTAGAGCAGCAGAAGTCAGCTAGATCTGTCAGGGGAGCACAGATATTCAGTGAACACATGATTCATTCTGATACTTTCACATCAATACAGTTGTTTTAAAGGTTTAAACATATTTCAAAGCTCAAAACTCAATTTGTTAATAATAGAAATAATTGGTTAGTTTAGAAAAAGAAACCCTCCATGGACACAGACACGAGCAGTGGAGGGTCAAAGAGTGGGTAATTTCTTACCTGTGCTCCACATTGGCTATGTCTTTGATCAGCCAGTCCTCTGTGATCAAATTCCAATCCTTGCAAGGAATGCTGGGAGAGCTTTATGAGTTCCTGCCCACCATCTAGTGTCTTGAGACACAAGAAAACTAAAGTTCTTTTTGATCTGATAAGTTCCCAGATCACCTGCAAACAGCAGGTATGATAGCTGTCCAAAAGAACGTGTGGACTTACAGATGACATACACATAGCTTGTGTCACCTCCCATCAACCACTCTGCATCATACCCCCTCCCCTCTGTCTCTCCCTCCCCCTTAGTGTCAACTCTATGTGAAAACAAAGCCTGCAGCAGGAGATTCCAGCAGCTTATCTTAGTAGGCCTTAATAGGCGAGGACAGTTATGTCAGAAGATTGTTTAATGCAGGACCAGGTAGGCTGCAAGGCCTTTATATCAACAGGAAACATGAACCTGTGTTAGGAGAAATCCTGAAAAAAGTAACAGTCAAAACTGTTGTAAAATCACCTTTTCCATGTTATGAATGATGAAACAGAAACATTTTGTGGTTAAAAAGTCAAGGATCTCATGAAACATGTCACCATAGACAAAGCCAAGAGGGGGTTTAGAAAAAAAAACAATGATCAGATCCATATAAAAAAGTATGATGACCGTGGTAAAACAGAGATGCAGGACATGCAGAAAGCAGCCTATGACCAGACCTTAGAACAGTAAACCTGCAGCTTAAAGCAGCCTCACACAGTATCACCTGTCAGAGTAACTTCGTAGTGAAAAAATAAATGTATTAAACCACCAGCCTTATGAGTAGCCATGTGGTGTGTCATCTCCACTGCATGCAGCCCACAAAATTTAAAGTTGCTGGGACTTTGGCAGTAGACGAGACCTCAGTGTACAGCTATAAACACATGTCAGCACTCAGGGGCCTGAGGGGTAATGTTACAGAGACTTGCTGCAGACCGGGTCATCTCAATTTCTCACAGTAATAAACAAGCTTGTAAAGCTTGGGATGAATATGGCTAAAGAACTGTGTTTGGATTTTATGTAAATGTTGACTTTTCAGTCAACATTTACATAAAACAGAAAGAATACTGTGCAAAATTATTCATAGCCCTTTTCCAATTTTGTCACATTTAATTCTTAGATTTCTTTGTAACTAGATGCAAACATTTACATTTTCCTCACAAATAAAACAACCAAAGATCCTTGTGGTGCAGTTGCACCTTTGCAGTTGAATCTGGAAGCCCAACATAAATCAACCAGCTGTTTTTAGAATTTGCCTATTTTTGTAAATAGATTCCAATTGGTTGTTACTACTACTTCTTAGAGCTAAATCAAGGCTGCCAACTTTTCACCAAACCTTGGAATGAGTTTTTGAAATAGTTTAGACAGGCAACCCTTGTCACGGTTAGATTGAAAGGCTATGAGAACAGTTGCAGGTAAATCCTCTGAAAACCTACAACCGTTACCTGAAACTAAGTGAAAAAAATTGGAATGCTATAGCACAGTAAATGTTACTGAATGATAATAAGTGATCCATGGTTATGTTGAACATTTTCACACAATATAGACTATTTTCTATATTCTGATGAATTTCAGAGAATTGAAGTAAAAGTATGGGCCCTACTAAAATACTTGCATCTACTGTCAACTAAGAATTTCACAACAGTGTTTATTAATAATTCTATGCAGCTCTAGTCATATAATCAATGGGAACCAAATTAGTTACTACTGGATTACTGGGACTAATACAGGAACCAGTGCAATCAAAGCCCATGCAAACTACACTGTGTATGAATATTTGGTGATAGGCTAAGGATTAAAAAGCTTAACTGATTATCTTATTAGATTTTTGCAATTGACAATTTAGACCTTCTGAGAGGCTGTAGATTCTATAAAAACTCGCCATGATACAAGACAGTATTTCTCTGGAGGTTTCTTGTTGGTCCATTAAACATATTTAATGGAGCAAAATAAGAATAAATGAATACGATAAGATATAAAAGAATGAGAACATCCCTGTAGTTCCTCTTCTATCAATCACTGAGTTGTTCTGCACATCCTCTCTGTATGTGATTGGTCTTTTCTTGGGTGGCTGATCTTTTGAAAAATAAAATGCAATTGTTTTATTTTGTGGATCTCCTATTAACTATAAATTAACATGTTAATATAGATATAATATGTAGATACAAATGTAATAGTTCTTTGTCAATGAATATGAAAAAAAAAAAACATTTAAAGCCAAAAACTGTTAAATAATAGAAAAGTGACAGTGAACATTTCTACATTCAACATCCAATTTGCAAAGAAGTGTGTTACCTAAAAGTATTGACTCTACTACTTTGTGTTTATCTATAAAAAAAAATGGTCACCCAAAAATCAACAGAAAACCGTGAGTGTAGCATGAGATGGGATTGTATCAACTTACTGTAAGTGTCTGAGGTTTTGGCTCATGTGTCTAGTCCAAAATCTCTCTGTGAAAAAACATGCGCTTTTTGAAAATATATGTATATTGTTTATTTGGTTTAAGTATTTCTTTATAGAAATTTTTCCAGGTGCATATGTATACTTAGTCTGACTCAGAAAACACATAAACTTAATATAAGCCATACAGGTACTAGCTATTTAATATTTAATCATAATTAGAAATCATGGACTGAATGTTTAATTTAGAAATGTGCTGTTTTCATTTCTCAAAGTCAAACTCTTAAATCCTCTTACATGTTTTAGAGTATATCTTATGAGTTTGATTTCAAATATATATTTAGGGATTAAAAATAAAAATAGTTTTCAAGAGTATGATTGAGGTGAAATTTTCATATGGAATAATCTGAGAGAATTTAGTTTTTTGCTGCAGCTATAACCTTCCCCTCACTGAACCTGAGCAGCATTTAATCAAGTCAAAAGTGAAAACACCTGCAGAGATGTGTAGGGAAGCTTGAGCTGTTGGCACACATATATACAACAGTCCCAACTCAGGGAATGGGAGTTAAATCCATGTTGGCCTGAGGCTGTAGCAGCAGTAGGTATGGTGAGCATTGATGTGCTGACATCCAGGTTTTTTGCATATGACCAAATGTACAATCATGATCTGCGGGAGCAGAGCTTTGCAGACTGGCCATTTAGAGAAGATTGCAACTGCACACCTGAAAAGGTAGGAGGGTCTCGGTGTTATCAGACTCATCATATTGGAATGTCTTGAAGAACATCTGAATAAAACAACAATATAGGATATATAAGATTTATTTTGCTGCTCTTGGTTATGATTTAGGAAGAGAGTGAGAAATCATAACTATAAAGGGACTATGTCTAAGATTTTAAGATTTTACAAACTAATTAAGATAGTTACTCTTTTTGTTGGATCTTCAAAAAGAAAATAGAAAAAAGGCCAACAGAAGTTACTGCTCATAGTTTCAGAACAAAATGCATGCTGGTTAGGTTAGACTCTGTAAAGATCACTTGTTTTGTTCTTGACTACTTGTGACCTAAAGCTAGAATTGATTATTCTCCATTTTATTACATTTTTTACTAGTTTAACACTACACTTAAATAAGAATCATTAACTTTACCTGCTTATATATTTTAGTTGTATCAATCAAGTGTCTCTTCCTGCAGTCGGTCATGAAATAATTTAAAATTGTCACAAAGGTTCAGCAGATGGTTTGCTCCTTTCATTGAGTACATTTTTCTTTTTTTACAATAAGTTGTATGAGAAGTTACAACAGTGTTTCTATCTGCAGATGGCTAAGGCTGGTTTTGTCCACTGTCCCAGTGAGAATGAACCAGACGTCGCGTGCTGTTTCTTCTGTCTTATCGAGCTAGAGGGCTGGGAGCCAGATGATGATCCCTGGTGAGAAACGCATCTGTCCTAAACCATGAGATGTCTACAGTTTAAGCCAAAAGTAGAGACTTTCAGACATTTTGCATTTTATACAAACTTTAGTGGTCCAGTCCCAGAAAGTAGTCCCAGAAACTGATGAATAAAAGTTGATATAAAGATTTAACACCATAAATATTTCCCCTGACATTGTGCAAGAATTATCAGGATTGGAATGTTAAACCCATTTAACATGTTTGAGACATATGGGAAAGCCTTATCTAACTAGCAAGATGAATTGTGAAAATAAAACTTCAGAAAATCCTCCACTTGTGCAATAAAGTGCATCATCCCCTTAAAAAATCATGATTATGTACAGAAGAAAAGTTCTGATTTTAGTCATATTTTCCAAATAGGTCTGAGCATGCAAAACGCTCCCCTAACTGTGGATTCTTATCCATGAAGAAAGACTTCACTGAGCTCACTGTGCGTGAATATACTCAACTAGAAAAAGACAGGCTGAAGATCTATTTGGTAAGTACTGAAAAAAAATTGAATGAGACCAAGTTTTTAGTTCTAACCTTTTTTTTTTTTTTCTCTTCAGAGGAAAAGTTGTCATAAGAAGTTGGCATCAATGCGTGATGCTGTTGATCAACTACTTGAGAGCCTAAAATCTCAGCTGGAATCAATAGAATAACTGTTATAAACTTCTGTTTCTGTGTAATGGAATTACATTTTAAATGAGCAATAAAGTTTGAAGGGAAATGTAGCCTGTAGTACTGTTATCATCCACTGGATGGGGTGTTTGAGCTTTCAGTATGGGGTCAACACCATGTCAGAAACTGCTTTCTGAAATTCCCAGTCTCTGAATTGAAAACATCAAATGTCTTCTAATATAAATGCCCAAGTTGGAGCAGGATTACAATGTTATGTTCTCCTTTCACTGAAAAACTTGCATTTTCTTGAACGCACCATCATCCCCACATCCTTTCAAACCTTGACCCTGGACAGATGGCCTGAAGCCCCTCCTTTTCAATACCAACTGTTGCCCCGTTAACATCTGTTACATATAGGGATAGTGCTTACTAAGAGGGCTTGCTAGGACACTTTTCTTGCATGTGAGGGGGGGGGGGAGTGCAGGATATTTCAGCTGATCGGTAATGCAAGAAAAGTTTATCTAACAAATCCTACAAAGCATTGGCACAAAGTATTGGAGAATTTCTTTCCTAAAGTATCTCTTCCACTGTGACTGATGGAAGAACAGGGTAGATATGGTCCTGGATTAAAATATTTTGCCCAACCTTCCCCTGTTGTGGATTAATGTCTAATGTAACACTCCGGCCACTGAGCCCAGATCGGCTGCTTAATTCTCCTTGATCCGCTCACAGAACAAATTGAAGAGTATTTTTAGACAATAAGTAAAATACCCCCCACCCCATGATATAACATTTGGAATGAAGCGGCCATGTATTGAACTTCCTAATTCTGTTAAATCTCTTTTTGGCATTGTGGTCGTGTAGTGCATTGCTAATTTCCCAAGAATATGTTATAGATTATGAGGACTTGCAGTTCTTTTCCCGGGTTAAGTTTAGGACTAAGGTGTGAGTTGAGTTTATGGTTGGGTATGTAGTTCAGCTAAGAGTCTGGGTTGGATTGTAAAAATTAACAGAAATCAATTGGAAAGTCTCTTTAAGGAGGGCTGCAACGTGTGTGTGTCAGGGGGGATTTCTATGTAATTTTAAGACCCTCAGACTGTTAAGGATGGTTTAATTTGGAGAGAAAGGGAAGCGGTAACTGTATATGTAAGCATCTGAGCTGATGCCTATAAGTGGTGTCAGTTCACTTCTTTTTAAGTGATGGACCACCAAGTGTGACAGGTGGGATTATCTAAAGGAATGAAAGGAAACTGTCCCTTTAATGAAAGTCTTGATTCTCATACTATTTCTAACAAGTAGATGAGTTAATATTATGCTTTCCAAATAAAACCATATTGGAAAGACTCTAAGAGGAATACGAATAATTCCAGCTCTTAAAATGACAAATGAGTCATTAAATCTCATAGTGGCTCTCACACACAAGTATGTTTGCACTTGTATAGAAACCAGAGTGAGGACCCTTTTTCCAATTTCACCATCACTGAGAACCAGTTGTAAAGTGAGGACATTCTGCTGTTCCTTGCAAGGTATTTAGCTAATGGTTAGGTTTACAGCTAAGGTGTCAATTGGGTTAGGATAAGGTATGCATCAGCAACGGTTAGTGCATAGAAAGGGTTGAAAATGACAAATGGAAGTCAATGCATGGTCCTCACTACGTATAGAACCAACATGTATGTGTGTGCGTGTATATATATATATAGAGCAAGAGAGATTGTGTTAAGTAAAAGGAAAAGAAACATAAGCTTTTCCAATCAATGTACTACAATTCCTGAACTTACTAAATAAATACTTTCTACATTGTACCCCTCTCCTGACTAATAACATTCATATGGTGAGATCTGACCCTTGAAATCACCTCTGCAAATCTAAATGATGCAAATGTAAGGATGCAGGAAAAAATCCAGCCAGGACACCTGAGCTTTATTCCAGATAATTGATGCCAGGTTTAAACTGAATTAATCAGGGGGTGATTCAGCAAAGTTTCTTCAAACCTCCCCAACCATTTAAATTTATATTATAATTTATATTTGAAAAGAATAAATATATCTTGTTTTTTTACATCCCACAAACCCATACTTGTAGACAGAAATCACCATAAATTTAAAATATACTTGCCTAATTAAATGTAGTACACACTTTGCCATTCTCTCATCTAAAACCTAATGTGAAAATTATTGCACTGATGAACACAATTTCAAATTTCAGGAAATTAAACGGTAAACAACAAAATGTAGCAGATGGAAAGACAGATGTTTGTAACAGAAACTTTACAATCTGAGCTTTGCATCAGGCCCCATCTGTTGCTCCTTCCACCCGGACCTCCCTCAACCCTCCTCCAGCTCTTGTCCAAAATCCTCATCAGCATCCATCAGACAACCCCTCCCTTTCTCCCCTGACTCCTGTACTAAATAATGTTAACATTTTAATGTTTAACCCTTGTGAAACAAGATTTAAATCATATTTTGAGATCAAACTATATCAGTCAAGATGAAAACTTCTCAAAGCTGATTGTAAACTGCATTCTAATCCAAATCCTCTCAGCTTCACTCATTTGGTTTAGCAAATTCAGATTTAGGAAAGGGATGAGATGAGATGCACAAGAAATAACTATAAAGATGTTCTGACCCAATTATTCAGAATCATTTCTAAAGAATCAGTTTGTGTTGCACTTTATAACTAGATTTGAATTCCTGATTAAATTCTCCCTTTACCCTCCTCCACCTCTGTTAACCCATGTCTGCAGTTGGGCATGCTGGCTGCCTGCAGTCTCAGACACCACGACCCTCCTACCTTGACAGTTTTTTTTTTCTGCCCCTTCTTCCAAAGAGACCTCCATCTGTCCCTTCACTCAGCCCATTGTGGTATCCTTAAGCCCAGAAACTTCCACAATGCTGAGGGCGTGCAAAGGGGGGGTACGGTAAACACCACAGCATCCAGATCCCATTAGAAGCTCTTTAACAACTACAACCTAATACTCAGAGGGAACTCTGGGAGGGGAAGGTCCGTCCCTTATCCTCATGCACACAATGTCACACTTTACGCCCTCTTCCATTGGTAATGAACATGCTCGCTGTACTTCATCCCTTTCTAAACATTACTTTATATTTCGTCGTCTATTCTTTAACAAATTAATCTTTTAAACTTTATAGTCATTGGACGACACACTTGCAGAACATGGTGAATATGAGGCAGGACATGCAATCAACTTTTTACTAAAATAGAGAAAATCCAATCTTAAATGAACAAAAAAATTAACATGAAATGTAATTATGAGGTCTTAGTAACAGCTATAAAGAAAGTGCTTTCTTTTTGTTATATTAGAAAAGATTAATTTTAGACCTTATAGTACAGAATTCCAAAAAGCCTTCTTGATCTTGAGCAAAACAATGAACAAATCATTAGTGTAACTCAACTTACTGGCTTTTTAACTCTACTTTTAGTTTGTTTATCAGCAGTGGCTCATACAGCTCATACTGTGTGAAGTTCTACACTGTTAAAGTTTTTTTTCTTAATTGATGACCAACAACAAATAGGCCTTTTGTTTAAAGCTGATAGCCTGTCTGTTTCAAGTTTGGAGCTTTTACCAGAGGTGGGTAGAGTCCCAAAAACAGTACTCAAGTAAAAGTAGCACTAATTCAACATATTTCTATTCAAAAGTAAAAGTATCTGTCCAATATATCAATCAGGAGTTAAACAAGTACTTGGTAAAAGCGTTTGTCAAATAATGAGTAAACATTTTACAGTTTAAAAATGAAGTAAACCAGACAGTATATAATATAAAGTTATTTAAAAGTTGCTTAGATTTGAAAGACTAAAACAGACTAATTTATACCAAAAAAAATAATAATAATAATGCAAAAGTAATACTTCTCAAAATCATTTTTTTTTAATAACATGAATCCATCTCTTAAAGTTAGACTTAGACTTACACTATATTGCCAAAAGTATTTGCTCACCTGCCTTGACTCACATATGAGCTTAAGTGACATCCCGTTCCTAATCCATAGGGTTCAATATGACGTCGGTCCACCCTTTGCAGCTAGAACAGCTTCAACTCTTCTGGGAAGGCTGTCCACAAGGTTTAGGAGTGTGTTTATGGGAATTTTTGACCATTCTTCCAGAAGCGCATTTGTGAGGTCGCACACTGATGTTGGACGAGAAGGCCTGGCTCTCAGTCTCCGCTCTAATTCATCCCAAAGGTGTTCTATCGGGTTGAGGTCAGGACTCTGTGCAGGCCAGTCAAGTTCATCCACACCAGACTCTGTCATCCATGTCTTTATGGACCTTGCTTTGTGCACTGGTGCACAGTCATGTTGGAAGAGGAAGGGGCCAGCTCCAAACTGTTCCCACAAAGTTGGGAGCATGGAATTGTCCAAAATGTCTTGGTATGCTGAAGCATTCAGAGTTCCTTTCACTGGAACTAAGGGGCCAAGCCCAGCTCCTGAAAAACAACCCCACACCATAATCCCCCCTCCACCAAACTTTACACTTGGCACAATGCAGTCAGACAAGTACCGTTCTCCTGGCAACCGCCAAACCCAGACGCGTCCATCAGATTGCCAGATGGAGAAGCGCGATTCGTCACTCCAGAGAACGCGTCTCCACTGCTCTAGAGTCCAGTGACGGCGTGCTTTACACCACCGCATCCGACGCTTTGCATTGCACTTGGTGATGTATGGCTTGGATGCAGCTGCTCGACCATGGAAACCCATTCCATGAAGCTCTCTGCGCACTGTTCTTGAGCTAATCTGAAGGCCACATGAAGTTTGGAGGTCTGTAGTGATTGACTCTGCAGAAAGTTGGCGACCTCTTCGCACTATGCGCGTCAGCATCCGCTGACCCTGCTCCGTCAGTTTACGTGGCCTACCACTTCGTGGCTGAGTTGCTGTCGTTCCCAAACACTTCCATTTTCTTATAATACAGCTGACAGTTGACACTGGAATATTTAGGAGCGAGGAAATTTCACGACTGGATTTGTTGCACAGGTGGCATCCTATCACAGTTCCACGCTGGAATTCACTGAGCTCCTGAGAGCGACCCATTCTTTCACAAATGTTTGTAAAAACAGTCTGCATGCCTAGGTGCTTGAATTTATACACCT